ATGATTGACTCTCTCAATCAATGGGTGCTGATTGACTCTCTCATTATGTGTCTCAAGGCTCCTGAATCACACATATAACCTATGAACCACGAGCTCAGTAGACTTCTAATGCTTCTCACAACTTAGAATCTGAAGAACCCTCAAAGAACACTCTTTGAAAATAAAATGCTTGCATACTCGTTTTATTGATTGAAAGGTGAATCTAAATGTACAAATAAGTCTGATTATATAGGGCACAACCTTAGACAAATAAAAAACGGTCATATGAAAAGAAAGGAAACAAAAATAAAGAAAAGGCTTCAATGGTGCTGATCATGATCGGAATATAGCCGTTGGGGAGATTTCTTTGGGCTTTTGTCTTTTACCGAGTCTCTTTGAATCTGGACGGTTTAAGGGGATACAATAAATTGCTTGGGACCTTCCCAGTGGCAGAGCCACGTGCAAAAAGAGGGGGGCAATGAACCCAACAAAACTGAAAAAATCAGTGTACCATAAAGCCCAATTTATATGATGACCCACTCACAATTTTTTTTAACCCCATACTTTAAACTCATTTACAGAATTACAGATACATAAAATAATAATGTATTTCAGCCTACTTAGTATTTTAATGAATTATCTTTCAAAGTCCAATAATTAGCAAAACCTAAAATTATCACATCATCTCTCTGCTTAAATTTTTCTGCGTCTTCCAACTTTCATATATTGTTGTCAAACAAACGAGATTCTTTTATCAATTACTTGGTGATTCCTTTATCAATTACTTTGTGATTCATGAATCTAGTCAACTTTTAAATTTTTTTTTTCTTTTATTCTATGTTTGATGTAAACTAATAACATAACACTTTTGTTTCCAGATAAATCAGTGGAAAATTTTATTAAAAGACCTTTCCCACCAACGCCTTAACAAAATTTGGATGACTTACCATGGGATCCTGTTAAAAGGAAAAAAATCAATGCATATGATTCAAATCAAAGAGATGAGGTACGACGCAAGTATCTAGCTAGAGGTCCTTGTAAACCGTATGGTCATAATTTTCTGAAAAAGGTGATTTCAAATTCTTTGAGGCGGTTTAGTATGCTTGGTTTGATCAGTATAGTAATTGGCTTGAGTACAGCGTAACGACAGATAGAGCTTATTGTTTGTGTTGTTACTTGTTTCGAGATGACATGCATAAGCAAGGTGGAAATGATAAGTTTGTGACTGAAGGTTGTTCTAGTTGGAATAAGTCTGAGAGAATAGCTTCTCATGTGGCTAGTATGAATAGCTTTCACAATACTGCTGTTAAGATGTGTGATTCTTTGATGAATCAAAAAAATTCCATTGCCCAAGCTTTTTATAAGCATGATGATGTTGTGAAAAACGAATACCGTCTTCGGTTGAATGCTTCTAGATATTTTCTGCGACAAGGAATAACTTTTCATGCTCATAATGAATCAGAAGATGCTGGTAATAAAGGGAAAATTTTGGAAGTTATAAGATACACTACAGACCAGAATGAAGCGGTAAGTAAGGTTGTTTTGGAGAAAGCTCCAAAAAATAACCAAATGACTTCTCCACTTATTCAGAAAGACATCGTGCATTGTTTTGCCGAAGAAGTTGTTAAATCTATTATCGAAGAAGTTGATCATGGTGTTTTTGGTTTATTGGTGGATTAATCTGCTGATATTTCTCACAAGGAACAAATGGCTGTTGTGTTACGCTTTGTCGATAACAATGGAACAATCAAAGAAAGATTTATTGGTATGGTTCATGTAAAAGAAACTTCTTCTTTGACACTTAAGCTAGCTATTGATTCTTTGTTTGCTAATTATGGCTTGTGCATGAAAAATGTAAGGGGCCAAGGTTATGATGGAGCGAGTAATATGAAAGGTGAATTCAATGGTCCGCGGTCTTTGGTTTTAAGGAAAACAGTTCAAGCTATTATGTTCATTGCTTTGCTCATCAGCTTCAGTTGTTAGTAGTGGAAGTCGCGAAGAAACATTTTGAAGTTGGTGATTTTTTTGATACCATTTCTACATTAGTGAATGTAGTTGGAGCTTCTTGCAAACCACAAGATGAACTTAAAGAAAGATACCGTAAGGAAATCGAGAAAGGAATTAGCAGTGGTGAAATTAGCACTGCAAAAGGGCAGAATCAAGAGTGTTCTCTTCCAAGGCCATCAAATACTCGCTAGGATTCTCATCATAAGACCTTAGTGAATATATCCAGAATGAAGGTCTTGATGACTCAAAGAAACGACAAGCATATGGTCTTATTAAGTACTTGTGTACTTTTGATTTTGTCTTCTATATGAAATTGATGCTGCTTATTTTGGGACTAACGGAAAATTTATCCATGGCTTTGCAATAAAAAAATCAAGACATTATGAATGTTGTTTCATTGGTCCAATCAACTAAGCGAGCACTGCAAAAACTTAGGGATGATGGATGGGACTCTTTGATGGTTAGAGTTTCTTCGTTTTGTAAGAAACATGATATTGAAATGATCATGATGGAAGACAACTTTGTTGGTTCTGGGATGGGACGAAAGAAAAGCAACATAACCAATTTACAATATTATAAGATCAGTTGCTTCAATGTTGTTCTGGATCTGCAGCTGCAAGAGTTCAATGATCGTCTTACTAAGGTAAACTCCTAATTTGTATGGCTTCTTTAAGTCCTAAAAAATCATTCAAGTTTTTTGACAAAGAGAAGTTGATAAAGTTGGTTGAGTTCTATCCAGATGATTTTAGTTTTTTTGAGCATTCTTCTCTTGAGCAGCAACTTGACATCTAAATTGATAATATAAGAGTGGAAGGCCGATTTAACTTGGAGTGTCTTGGAGATCTTTCTCGCTTTATGATTGTCTTGCTTGCTTTATTTAAAAGGATTTTGTTTGCATCAGTGACAACTGAAAAAGTGGTGAAAAATTTTCAAACCATGGCTGAACGTAGAATATGCTTATAAGCTTTTTTTGTAAGACTATTTTAATTTAAGAGATTTTTTATTTAATATCATATTTTAGTTTAATATCTATGCCCCCAACAAAATAATATTCTGCCTCCGCCACTGGACCTTCCTGATTGCTTGTAATATGCTGATCACGTCCATAAAATGAAGAGAATATAGCTGTTGAAGTTTGAACGCTTGAGGCTCCAAATAAGGAAAATGTGAGCAATAATAGATTCACCTGATCCTATCCCTGCTGGTCTATGGTAGGATGAAGGCAATAAGTTCTGAATGGTTAGACTGGTCTTCTGGAAGTATTGGTTTAGGCTGAATGTCTTCTGTTTGGGGTGGATTGACTTGGAAAGGATTAAACCGAAAGATTTCCAAATCTTTCCATAATCGGCTTAAGTTTGGTTAGATAATTTTTTCAAGGATCCGCCTGATTCAGTGTGGTCTTGTGCTTCTTAGGATACTGTAGAGTGACTCTAGAAGCTGTAAAAACTCTCTTGGTTTCAAAAATTGAGTTTCATTGATGCCAAACCCGGAGCTTCAATAAAAGGCAAGTATAGAACTGGTTTAGCCGGTTTTGGAGATTGGGCAATAACTCCATATTTCTGTGGACGTTTCTCTTATTCTGAGCTGGTTGGAAAGCAAAGAATATGATTAATTCAGGTCTCTTAGGGTGGGGTTCTTAGCGTAATAAGATACGGTCTCTTAGATTTTAACTAAAAAAAATTAAGAGACGTCTCTTAAATAAGAGATATAAGAGACGTCTCTTAGGTTTTTTTAGTTAAAAGCTAAGAGACCATATCTTATATTACGCTAAGAACCCCTTCCTAAAAGACCTACATTAATCAAGCTCTAAGAGCCTCATCTTGAAGTCCAGTAGTTGGTTTCGGTCGGAATGTTTCTTCATTGAGCTTGAAGCAGCTTCTAAACTCGCATACTCGCAGATGGACGGACTGGAGAATCTCCAGTTTGTAAAATTCATATCTTCTTGGTCCAAGTAGCTTTGAAAATTATTCTTATTGTAGTTGACTCCTTGTTGAGCGTATAATGCATGAGAAAATCATGGCAAATGGCTTCTTGGTTGGTGAGATACAACGTTTTGAATGAACACATATCCTAGTTGTTTGTTTGATTGGCTGAATGGTGCATCCGGCTGGCCTCTGATTCAGTTGTCGTTTCTAACCTGAACCAAGATAGAGCAAGTCAGGTTTCATACTCTTTTGAGATTGTAGCGCCTTAGCTTGGTATTATGTCGGTTTGATCTTTGGTGGCAAATATGGTGGCTCTCCTTTGAGTAGAAATGACATAACTACTCCTTTATATTGATCTGGACTTCTGGATGTTTTTTTATGATCTGATGATGGGTCTGGAATCAAGAATTTATTGATGGTAACTTCTTGCTTTCTTTTGGCATCTAAATACCTTATGATCTCTTTGTGTGGATCTCCTATGAAATCCTTTGCCTTTGTTCCTGAAATTATCTCAACACTTTCAGAAGACATCAAGTGAAGTATATCTGTGTTTAAGAATTTATAATTTAGACAAGTAAAATTATACTTACTTAAAAATCCAGAATTTGAAAGTTCTAAAGAAACAAGACTATCCTCTGAAAAGTGTCCCCTCTCATGGAATCTATAACATGTTTGAGTTTTAATATATTTAGAACAAGAAGACTTACTTTGATTTGATGATGCTGGTGATTTTTGCAAACCTTGTGCCATAGCTTCATCTCAGGCCGTGGACCTCTTTTGATATTGACTGCTGTGGCCTTGTATTCAGTAGGCTGTGAATCTCCTTTTGTCCTTTTTTTGAATAATACAGCGGTATCCTGGCCTCACAAAAAATGATCCAGACTAGTTACGTGTTGCCACGTGTCGGTCCTCTGTCCCTAGCAATGCCGAACTGTTAATTCCCCAGTGGCCGGGATTCAAACCCAAGTGGTGGTAATCACAGATGTAAGCCCTTTACCACTAGAGCTAGAAGCCCCATTAAAAAGGTGGTTTCACCTCTTTGCCGGGAACCCAAGCATTGTAAATAGTCGCTCCCACCGTGAATTGAACTCAAGTGGCGGAAGTTACAGCCACAACCCCTTTTGTCCTTACACTGATTGCTGGCTCTGTTATAGATTGTAGGGAACTCGTCTGTGAACTCTTTCCTTGCTTGATAGTTTGATTTTGTATGGCTGGCTTTCTCTTTTGTGAGCAGTGATGATGATACGCTTGCTTGTTTACACCATTAAGACTTGTGGTTGAGGTGAGAATATAGCCAGCGTGGATATCATTCTTTTGGGGCTGGTGGTATTGGGCTGCAGTTTCCTTCTCAGCCTTCTCAACCAATCTCTTCATTTCTAGTCTGAAATCTTCCCAAGTGTCAACAGATTCGTCATCAGCCTCCTCATCAGATAGTTGGTAATTGTGGTACTTGGCTTTCAAGTTGTCCTCCCATTGTTGATAAGCAGCAGTTTCTTTGTTATAACCAGAAAAGTTGATGGAGCGCTCTTCAAGCTCAGTAACAGTTCTTCCGGTATCACTTTCAACTTCTTCCTCTTCAGCCAAGACAAGTTGGAATTCTTTAACATTTCTTCCAGCCTTGCGTATGGCTTCCTCCTCTTCAGGCATGCCTAGATCATCTCCATGGATCTCAACCTTACGGATGGACTGCCTTGCTTCATCATCACTGATTTGAGAATCAGATTTCTGATACCATGATCCATTGTCTTGGTAAAGCTTGAAGGACAGTGCTTGTCTTGTCTCATGATCAGAGTATGGTACTTCAGTCCATGGCCTTTCTTCTATGTCTTGATCGGAATCAGGATGGGTTTGAGCCTCCCATGAGTTCTCTTTGGCGTCAAGTTGAGACTGAGTTTATTCATCAGCTTCATGATCCCAATCTTCTGAATTTTCTAGACTGTTTTTTCTTCAGCCTCTTCATGCCATGAATCACCTTCATAGCCTTCTTATAACCCAGCCTCTTGTCTGGACCAGTCAGTAGAGATGTTTTCATCTTGGTATGGGTCTGGTGGTACTGGCTCAAGATCTCCTTCATAAGGATCCTCTTCAAAATTAGTTTTGCCATCGTCGGACCATTAGTCATCTCCATAACTACTTTCTTCATCAAGCATGGATTGCTCTTCTTCTCAAGAATCGTATTTCTCATCCATGGTACCTGATATAGAACACACACGGTAGTTAAGTACTTTTAAGGGGCAGTGGTCGAATCTTTATGCAAACAAAATATCAAAAATGCTTTGGACAGAAAAAATTGCTAATGACTTTTTATATGGTTTTCTTTTTAAATGAAACAATGGTATGCACGAAATATAGTAGAATTATATGTATGTAGTTATGCAAGAAATAACCAACAAGAACGATAAGAAACAAATTCTTTTTTTTTTTTTTTTATAACACTAAGAGAGTACAAGGTTCGTCGAAACGAAAAAATGATACAAAAGACATAAAAAAGACAAAGAAATAAGATGTCAGAAGACACCATCAAAGAGGGAAAAGAGGAGGAGCTTACAAACCCTTTCTTACACTGCCTCCAAAGCGAGTAAGTGATGAAGCCACGATGGAGCATTCCGAGCGATAT